ATGAATTCTTCTGTTTATATTGTTGAATCTTCCTCTCATTTATGGCATTTACGTTTAGCACATAGAAATTTTAGATCTTTAAAATACATGCGCACACTTGGTTTTATTACTTGCAATGATGATTATAATGATAAATGTGAAACATGTATTCAAGCGAAAATGACTAAGAAACCTTTTCCAACTACCGAAAGAAATACAAATTTATTAGACTTAATACATCCTGACATATGTGAATTTAATGGTGTTTTAACAAGAGGAGGAAAAAGATATTTTATCACATTTATAGATGATTGTTCTAAATTTACTTATGTTTATTTATTGTCTAATAAAGATAAAGCTTTTGAGTGCTTTAAGCGCTATAAGGCTGAAGTTGAAAACCAAAAGGGAAGGAAAATTAAATGCCTTCGTAGTGATAGAGGTGGTGAATATTTTTCACATGAATTTGATATTTTTTGTGAAGAGCATGGTGTTGTACATCAAAGAACTGCACCCTATACACCACAACAAAATGGTTTGGCAGAAAGAAAAATAGAACACTCACTGAAATGATTAATTCTATGATTATTAATGCTAATACTCCAAAATATTTATGGGGTGAAGCATTGTTTACTGCATGCCATATACACAATAGAATTACATCTATGAAGACACATGTGTCACCATATGAAATTTGGAAAGGAAGAAAACCAAATTTGTCATATTTGAGAGTATGGGGTTGTGTAGCTTTTTATAAGGCACTCGATCCTAAGAGATCCAAGTTGGGTCCAAGAGGAATTAAAAGCATATTTGTAGGTTATGCAGAAAATTCAAGGGCATATAGGTTGCTTAATTTAGACTCAAACACAATAGTTGAGTCTAGAGATGTCGAATTTATAGAAAATAAATTCTATAATGACTACTCAGTGTCTGGAAAAGAGAATAATCAAACACATTTCTCTAATCCGTCTACTAGTCAATCTCAAGGTGAGAAAAGAAAACAGTCTGAAACTGTTAATGAACCAAGGAAAAGCCAAAGGGTAAGAAAAGAAAAGACTCTAGGCTCTGATTTTATTTCATCTCAATCTATTGTATTTTTAGTTGAAGGAAATAGAACAAAGGTTCTTAAGAAAATACCCATATTGTTGAATGTTGAGGATGATCCTAAAAGTCTAAGCGAAACATTGACTTCAAAAGATGCAGCTTTTTGGAAAGTGGCTATAGATGATGAATTTGAATCATTAATATCTAATCAGACATGTGTTTTAGTAGACTTGCCCCAAGGATCAAAAGCAATAGGTTGTAAGTGGGTATTTAAAAGAAAATACAATACAAACGGGTCTATTCAGACATTTAAAGCCAGGCTAGTTTCCAAAGGTTTTAAGCAGAAAAAAGGAATAGACTATTTCGATACATATGCACCAGTAGCTAGGCTCACATCAATTAGAATATTGTTTGCATTGGCATCTTTATATAATTTGCATGTGCATCAAATGGATGTGAAAACAGCATTTTTAAATGGTGATTTAGATGAAGAAGTCTATATGGAACAACCAGAAGGGTTTGTTCTCCCTGGGAATGAAAATAAGGTTTGTAAATTAGTAAAGTCATTATATGGATTGAAGCAAGCACCAAAACAATGGCATGAAAAGTTTGATTTTGTCATTTTATCATATGAATTTAAACATAACAGTGCTGATAAATGCATATACTCTAAATTCACAAATGATTATGGTGTTGTTATATGTTTATATGTCGACGACTTGCTAATTTTTGGTACAAACATGAAAGGTGTATCTGAAACTAAACAGTATCTAAATTCAAAATTCAAGATGAAGGATTTGAATGAAGTAGATACTATCTTGGGAATTAAAGTAAAGAAGCATAGTGGGGGCTACGCTTTGTGTCAGTCACATTATATAGAAAAATTGCTTCTTAAGTTTAAGCATCTACAAATAAAAGAAGCAAATACCCCTTATGATCATAGTGAAACTTTGCTTAATAATTCTGGTAGGTCTGTTGCACAGCTTGAGTATGCTAGTGTAATCGGAAGTTTAATGTATGCCAGGCATTGTACCAGGCCAGATATTGCATTTGCAGTAAGCAAACTTTAGATACACTAGTCATCCAGGTACTACTCATTGGAAAGCAATAAATAGAATTTTTGGTTATCTTAAAAGAACTATTAACCTGAGTTTAACTTACTCTGAGTTTCCAGCAGTACTTGAAGGATATTCAGATGCAAGTTGGATAACAAGTGCTAATGATAATAAGTCTACATCAGGGTGGATTTTTACAATTGCCGGAGGAGCAATTTCTTGGGCTTCGAAGAAGCAAACATGTATAGCACATTCAACTATGGAATCTGAATTTATAGCATTAGCATCAGCAGGTAAAGAAGCGGAATGGATTAGAAATTTGTTATTGGAAATAGAGTTGTGGCCACAACCAATGCCATCCATTTCTTTATACTGTGATAGTGAGGCTACTTTGTCTAGAGCATACAATAAGGTATACAATGGAAAATCTAGACATATTAGCTTGAGACATGAATATGTCAAGCAATTAATAACTGATGGAGTTATTAATATTGTTTATGTTAAATCAAGTAATAACTTGGCGGATCCATTAACGAAAGCACTTTCAAGATCTTTGGTAGTTAGTACATCTAGTGGAATGGGGCTAAAACCCTTTATTGAAAATTAGCCACCAATAATGGTAACCCGACTTTGTCTAGAACATCACTAGTTTAAAAGTTTAATGGGTAATAACAAGTTATTGTTAAGTGGTTGTGTAAGCACTGGAAATTATTATATAGCTCATTCCAGGATGATCAGTGCAAGACTGCTACGTTTAGGAGGATGAGTTTTAACTCTTAATGAGGTTATTTGTAGTTATGTCTAAGGGACATGGGAATGAACCTCACCTATATAAACATAAGAAGTGGTGCCGCTTCTGCCAAGAGTTGGGTTTTCTCTTGTAAATGTTTATGAAACCAGGATGAAGCACAAGGCCATAATAGTGCTTAATTGGTTCAAGAATTTCTTTAAAGAAATAAGACATAATCATGTGTGTAGTGATTCCGGTTTTAACATAAGAATAGGTGGTTTAAACTTAGGTCACCATCGCATTCGTTATAACTTTGAATTATTTACACTAATTAAAGGTTTAATTCGAAAGACACCTTTATTGTATGCATGATTATATCGGTATGCTTGTGATAATTATAAAGAGAGTTGTAATATCATTTTCTATATATTTTTCAAATAGGGAAGGATTGTTGAATATTTTAAAAATATATATATAATAATATATTATATATATAATAATATATATATATATATATATGGGGATGTTTGACGGGAAGTTGGGTCATTGACCCAACAATTATATCTTTTCAAATTAGCATTGTAACCTTTTGCTAATACCCAACGGTTGCTGCATGTTTTACAACATATATGATATTTGGGTAATTGGTGTTTGTATTAGATATGTCCATTGGACATAATGATGCAATGTGTTGTATCCCATGGTGAAAAGACATACTCAAATCAAATGATGTGTCTAAAGGGTGTAATTCTCTCTATATATAGTGGTGACATTAGTAGAAAAGAATCATTCAGAAATTTGTTGTCTACATAATTTCTTTGCTCTCTTTTCTCTCTTCATCACATTCATACAATTTCTTTCTAGTTATTTCTAAGGGAATATAATTCGGTTTTGCTAATCTAATATTCCATACTTTGTTATATCCTGGAAGTGATTTGCCAAGAACCTTTTAGCAAACTCATTCGAGTGGGGGCAAATAACACTTTAAGGAAACGATTCAAGTCGTACCTCAAAGTCATTATTCGGATTATTCTCCATAATTCTACATTTAATCTAACAATTGATTCATTTGGAACGATTCCAAAGACGTGCTAATTCTTTCAAAGTATTTTAGAACTTGATGTAAAAAAAGAACCAGAGAGCTGAGAGTTTCCATCGAAGTCCAAATCCAACTCGATGAAAAGGTCCCCAACAATCGTAAAATCATATTTTTTTTGAAAAAAAAATTCAATGAATAGAGAATCTTCAAATGGTAGTGGAAAGCTAAAATAATTAATAACTCCTCCAAATGTTTTTTCTCTATTGTATTTGGGATAATACTTAAGTACTTACTAATGAATACTCAATTTCTATTTTGTCCAATAATATTTTAACACTTGTTTTATTGTTTTAAAAAATAATGAAAATTTATGTTATTTAATTTTTCTTGATTTTAAAAAATAAAGAATACGTGACATTTTTTTATTGAGCTAAATCAGAAAGTGAGCAAAGAATACCACTAAACCATAATACAAGTAAAGAAAAATACTACTAGACCATAATACTGAATTGGCATGATCTCATTAATTAAACAGACATATGCCCCTCTGCATGGCATGTCCAAGCCGTACAGGTGGTATCCATGCAAATGGAAGTTCAGTATAGATCCATTAATATGAGTGGGAGCACCACTGCCAAGATGAAGAGACCTAGACAAATTAGTTGAGATCAATTAAATTTGTTTTTTCTTTTTACAAATGAGGAGGTAGGAGGATTTGGATTCGAAACAAATAATAATAATAATATACATTAAATTTATCTAAATTATGAAAAGTGCAAGAGTTGAAACCTAAGACTGGTGATTTGAAAAAAAAAAAAAAATCTCTATCATCCCTATTCACAAGGTAATCCAGATCAATTTAATTTGTTCCAAATTATAATTTCCTCCACAAATTAATTAATTAATGTATAGCCAACAAGACATGAGATGACATGAAAGTGTACATCTTCTTAACCTCAAGATTGTGATATTTTGAGAATGGTCACTTGCCTGGCATTTATCTCATGAAAAAAATGAAAAGGCCGTTTTTGTTATTTTGGAGTTGGTATCATAATCTGTGTTGAGATCATATTATGCTTATAATCAAAATTATCAAGTTTTCATTTTCCTTTTATAATCAATGGACTAGAATCTGGATAATATATGATTTCAAGGACAAAGATTAATTTCCTTCAACCATAATTAACTAGAAAGCACTAGAACTGAAAGCAGATACATTCATAATTAAGATCGATGCATGTCATAGAGACAAGCCAACAATCACAGTACTGGCTAGAAACCGACAGTGACAAAAAGTAGAAACTTGAAACAAGGACCAACCACTAGTTTAACAAAAAGATCAATCTACTAATTGGATAGCTAGCTATGCATGCACGCAAAGTCATGAAACCCTCGACAAATGATCAAGGATGTGGAAGAAGGGCACCAGCTCCACCACCAACGCCACTGCCAGCTGCACCACCAACGCCACCGCCAGCGGCACCACCAAGACCACCAGCGCCACCAGCACCGCCTAATCCGCCAACTCCACCAAGACCACCACCACCAATACCTCCTACTCCTCCTATTCCACCAACTTTACCAATCCCTCCACCAATTCCACCAACTTTCCCAATACCTCCACCAATTCCACCAAGAACCGGCATCACCCCGCCAACTCCAGCAAACCCTCCCATCCCTGCAAACCCACCAACGCCGCCAAAGATGCACTTCTTGTCACGAAGGCCAGTAGGTGACTCTGCCGCTGGTGCACTTGCATGCACAACCATTGTGTGCTCAGTTGTGCTGCCATGACCATCATCACCAGGCACCTTGCGTGCACTAGTTGCATGCAGTAGCGCTGATGAGAAAGCAAGCACCAAAATGACACGCCACATCTCCATCTTTGGCAACTCTGGATCTCTCTCTCTCTCTCTCTCTACCTCTTGGTGGTTTTTCTCTCTGTGAACATATGGTTTATATAGGGGTTGTGCGCCGAGTGGTGAAGAGGTGTGAAGGTGGGGGGCGGTTGAGGGTAGTAATGAAGGGTTAGGGTTTGTAGTAAATGACTTAATGGGGGAAGAGTTTAGACTTCTTGGATGAGTAATGCTATTCATTCCATGTTTTTATACCACATTTCTATACCATCTTAGGTGGCATCTGATGTGGACAACCATATCATTTGAAAAATTTGCAAAACCTAAGGAAATGAAGGAGAAAGACTCCTCGTATACTACAATCATCATTTATTTAATTAGTTTTTCTTAATTATTAGTTTATTAAATAATGAACTAAATTTAAAAATCTGATTAATTCAAATGATGTGAATGTCAACATCAAATGCCACCTAAGATGGTATGAAGAACATTACTTCTTGGATCTTTAATGGTCTCGAGAAAGGAAAAAGCAAAACAAAAAATGAATGAGGGGTTTGAATTTTCGGATCAGAAGCATGGATAGTTAGGTGGAATGAAAACAAGAAAAATTGAAGGAAGTGAGTTGAGATTCCATGACATTCTTGTGCATTGCCAAATTTGGTTCCGTTGTGACTCATGTGAGCCTCCGAGACGAGGTACACGAATTTCTTTTCTATGAGCTGGTATACAATAGTTAGGTGGATTATATTACTAGTACTAGTCCAAAAATGCTTTCTTACCAACAAAATACAGAGTTGCCTGACGACAATATATCGTTTATGCTCTGGAAAGGTATTTTATGTGTGTGTGTGTGTATTTATGTATATAATTGTTTGGGCCCAAAATATAAGTTTGGGCTGAGAATGAGTAATTTGGAATGGGAAGACCTTATATTTGTTTGGGCCCAACATAGATTCAGTAAGTTAAGGGTGTTCCGGCCCCAGATGACATCAGCCCAACTGAGTCCTTATGACTGAAGAATTGTGAAGAGATCATAGTTGAGTAGGGCTCAGTCGAGTCCTAGATGAACTAAAACTATTAATCATTGGTAATTGAATTTGATAAGATTAGATTTGTTCAAGGGATCAAAATTCATGCTTAATCAGATAAGAATGAATTAAGTTCAAAAAGTGACTAGGTTCAAATGGAGGCTGAAACTGGATGAGGTTTAAGTTTCAAGTAAGAGAGGATAATTTGGAATATTTAGGTAAATATTGAGGAAGCTTAGTCTTATAGGACTCTGCCTTGGCAAACATGTTTACCCTTGAAGCCTTGCCTATAAACAGAAGAGGTTTTGCAACGAGAAAATGACCTTCAACTCAACACACAAATCAACGCTCCACGCGAAACCCTCTCACACCTTGAAAAAATACTAACTGCTCTAACCCCTCCCCTTTGGCATATATTGAGTTTGGTTAAACATCATAGGGTTAACAACTGGCGACATCTTCTGTTTGGTTAAACAGCACTGGAGCCGTAGAACCTGCCAGGCCTAGGAGACCTTCAGTTTGGTTAAACCAACACTCTCCTATCCTTGTTGGTTACCTATCCAAGTCTTAGTCAGTGAAGAGTTTGTTATTCTCTTGCTGAAAGAGGTTACTTGATTAGCCTTCTGGCGAAGTAAGGTGTTCTATGATTGGTTACTCTCAGGCAAGGTATAAAATATCGATGATATCGGAAATATCGGTAGTCAAAAACACGGAAATTTCGATGGAAATATCGGGATATTATTGATATCGATAAAAATTGAATAAAAACCACAGAAATTGTAAGAAAAACTTGGAAATTTTTATTGAAACGTTGCAAGATGTTTATTTAGTCAATTATCTATTAGTTTATCACAAAAAATTAGAAGGAAATGCATTGCATGATAGATATAACTGATTTAAGTTGATTATATAGCGAGCTGGCAAACATTGTGAGTGTAAAAAATATGTAGTAATTAATGAAAGAAGTTTAAACACACCATAATCATTTATATATAATGAATTAGTACATTGCATGGTAAGATACATGAGTGACTTAGCAAGGTCTAAAATATCGATGATATCGGAAATATCGATAGTCCAAAAAAATATCGGTAGTCCAAAAACACGGAAATTTCGATGGAAATAAAGCCGAACAACCTTCACCATAAAGGCGCTCATTTCCTTTGATTATCTTTGTTGTTACAGCTTTTCAGAGAGAAAGGCGCACTTATATGTTCACATATATAGTTGAACTCGCTGAACCCAATGTTGAGGATACTTCCTTGATTGTAGTCGCTCAGTCCAGAAGTTAGCAGCATGATTTGACACCACCACTACTTTCATCTTACTCGCCCGATTCACTTCGGTGGCAAGTTAACACGCCCGCATCCACCAGAAGAAGGATGTAGTTAGTTCTTATTTATTTGTTATGCGAGTCACGTAGGCTTGTAGTTTTTAAGGTTAACAATAGTATAAGCGATTTGTCACTACTCCAATGTAGAAATTTTCTATTCTTCAATAATTATTGCATTTTTCCCATATCTGCTAGGTTATGTTCATGTAATGGTTTGGCCATGAAAATTAAGTATCAGCCTTCTTATTCAGGTGAGTCGAATCTTGGAGTTTTTCTTATAAGTTAAGATACTACCATTAAACTGTAGTGGTAATGGCTTGTTTGTATTTCAATTGATCAAATGTATAATAGTAAGGGCACGGTTGACTTTCAAACTGTGGATGAAAAGGAAACTAAAGTTTTGACACATAAGGTTTTGAATCATTTGGCATTAAAATTTTAGTAGAATTGGAGGATGCATGAATATTGGGCATAATTGTGTGCATGAACCTAATTAAGGTCTGCTCGTAATCCTATAAATACCATCACCATCTCGGAGCCATATAGCATTCCAATCACCATCTCATTATCAAGAACTTAATCGTTCCAGAAGCCATGGCCATTTTCTTCTTTACACTCGGTATGTAGTCAATATATATGTTTGAGCTTTAATTTCTTGCATTTTTCTTCTCGTATGCACCAAATTAAATTCCTACTAATTATTTCTATTTTACAATTGTTTTTCGGTACGCCCTGAAGGACAGTGCTTGGGAAAATGTGAAGATTGTCTTGATTACAGTACCTTTTGCACGAGAGTTGGTTTTAAAGGAGGAAAATGCTATCCACCACTTTTTCAATTTTGTTTGCCTTGTGTATTGAGGGATGGGCAGGGACAGGGAGAAGGGATCCCATTATAATTTCTATTGGGCTTGTTATATTAACACCTTATATTGTTGAATACACTTCATATACTTAATGCATCCCACATTTACCTTTTCAATTAAAATTCATATTAATACACCCCACATACATTCTCATAATACCCTCACACCCCATACTCTCAACATATACCTTACATCATACACCCCACATTTTCTACATACATACCGCACTCTTCACATTATTAACAGTAATGTCAAAAGCCAATGCACAATTCACATCCAATAGATTTTAAAAAAAGAAACAAATCTTATTAATCATTTAACATGTAGATTCCAATACAATTACAATTTTCCTTCTTTCTTGGCTATGGCAGCCCTCAATATGCACGTAAATAAAATAACGAAAATAGTAACTCTCTAAGCCCTATAGACTGAAGATCAAAAATGAATTTAGCCTCCGTTTACCCCTTTTCCCGAACATTGTAAAATCCTTGAATTTCTTTTCATCATCGGCACGAAAATGATCATGTCAAATCTCTTCATGTTCTAGTCACTTATATCATTATTATGCCTCAAGTACAATATGATCATTTGAAATCTTAGGCTGCAAATTCTTCACTTTTAGTCTTTTACTCAGATTCTTCAAAGCAATAGGAAAGTTCCCGACATCATTTTCATCTCACAGGCAAACTCCTACCACAATTTTTTGCAACAAAATCTGTTCATAACCGTCTTAGAGAAGCTCTTCAAAATCACTAGCGTTTCCCTCTAAATCAAACCAAACACTACTTATTCTTTGAGAGTTACAGTATTTCGAAATAACACTTAAGCTTATTTAATCGAACACCACCCTTTCAGTACCTGTTTGAGCTCTTTCTAGTTTTACTGATGTCTCTTTGTAGTTTCATTAGTAGGTTTGTTCTACAATGGAGGGTGAGAATGGTTTTGAGAGTTGAAGAAGATAAATAATCTGCAGATATACAAGTTAAAAGTGATTTGGGGTGTATTTAGAATTTTTTTTATTTCTTTTAAACTTTACGAGGTCGAAATTGGTATTGCATATTAGGGTATATAAATTATTTAATATTAAATTTTAATGTGAAGTGTATTTAACATTATGTGAGGTGCTAGTAGAAAAAGCCTTTCTATTGTTGTAATAAACTCCCTTTGAATAAAAAGTAATAAATATCTGTAGTGTTTTCTTATTTTCATCTTTTTTCTTTTTTGATATAGCGATATGCATTTGCTTATAATTTACAATAATATTATCCTTACCATTTATTTGTACCACAATTTTATACTATCTTAGCCAAAATTTTTTCGTGGTCCTTGTGGTGACACGACACTTTCAATGTGACCCACATGGTAAAAAAATTATTAATTAAACCCTCGTGGTGAGCCTTGTTAGCAATTGAGGTCCAATCCAAACTTCCATTAAATAAACTCATGTGACTATCACATGAAGGGGTCAAATTCGTCATTTCATTTCAAATTACGTTGTATGCAGTGGACATCTAGTATGACATAGGGTTTAACTAAAATTAGATTTTACATAAAAAATAAAAAATAAAAAATAAACTTCAACGCAGTGAAACTAAACCTATAAAACCATGTCAATGGCTAGGAGAAGAGGTGAATGTGAAGTTGCGCCTAATTTCTTAGGTATGATTTCGTTTGGAAATCCTAATACTTTTAATAAACTATTTTTTTTTCAATGCTAACACGTCTTTGATCATGAGTTAATTAGAGACTTAGTCTTATTTGAATTTTAATTCTTCTATCAATTTGTACCAGTCTGCATATATGCCTTTCAATTTTGTCTTTAATTCATAGTGTGGTTTGATGCAGTACATAACCTTTCAATGCACCTTGGAGACCTCCTGGAATGACCTCTACAATATCATCAAATGCTAAAAGTTCTTGGAGACCTTCTGGAATGGCCCCAATGCACAACATGCAAAATCAACAGATGAAAAAGCACAATACCTTACAAAAAAAAATGATGAAG